TTATTTTTAATGTATTTAGTACAGGGTCTACAGTGTCTCACTATGTAGATTGGACTTTTAGTGATTCTCCTGTTTTCAGCATCCCCAGTGCTGGGATTAGAGGATGGAGAAATACAATACTTCCATGACAAGGAACAGCTGAGTAAATTTATGACTATCAAACCAACACTCTGAAATGTTTTAAGGACATTGTAGAAAGAGATAACAAGGATTAGAAATCAATGAACCCCAATAGAAGGAATTGACCAGGTAAGGCAAACAATTAAACAAAGTGAGGGTAAAAAGGGGAGAACCAACAACAGGAAAATAAAATAACATGACAAGAACAAATCAATCTATATCTATATATATCAGTTATAATCATCAATGTTAACAGTTTCAGTTCACCAATCAAAAGACACAAACTGGGAGGAGAGAATGGATTACGAAGCAAGGTCCAACAATATGTTGCATATAACAAGCACATTTCATTGAAAAAGAAATTCATACACTGAAAGTCAAAGAGTAGAAAACAATACACCATGTGACAGGAACCCTAAAAAATGCAAGGGTGGCTATTTTATTTGAAGACAAAGTGAACTTCAACCCAAGACTGATTAAGAGAGACAAAGAAGGTCACTACATCCTTGTAAAGGGAACAATCCAAGAGGAAGAGACAACAATATAAATATATAGGCAATAAATACCAGCACACCCAACCACACAAAACAGGTGTTAGCAGACATGAAAAATCAAGTAAGCACTAATGCAACTGTATTAGTGAGAGATCTCAATACCCCACTGTCACAAAAGACAGATCAAACTAGACAAAAAGTCAACAATAAAATATAGAACTGAACCAAACTTTTGAACAAATGGACTAGTAGATGTCTACAGAATATTCTACCCAATGACATAAAAAACAAATTGTTCTCAGCTCCAAAAAGAGACCACAGGCTGGCAAGATAGCTCAGTGATCTAAGCACCAGCCTTAGAAAGTGCAAGGACTCAGGTTTGATTCCCCATACTGTATGCCATGCTGGACACAAAGACCGGGCATGGTGGCGCACACCTGTAATCTCAGCACTGGAGAGGCTGAGACAGGAGGATCACTATGAGTCCAAGCTGTATAGCAAGACCCTGTACCAAATAAATAAATAAATAAATAAATTTAAAAAACAAAACAAAATAGACCATATACTAGCTCATAAAATACACTTAAGTAAATGCAAAGGAATTCAAATCATCCCATGCATAGTATCAGACCATAGTGCAATGAAATTGGAAATTAATGGCCAAAGTAATCACAAGAACTTCATAAACACATGGAAATTAAATAGAACCCTCCTGAGGGGCTGGGGAGATAGCTCAGTAGAATAAGCACTTGCCTGGCAAGCACAACAGCCTGAGTTCAATCCCTGGTTCCGCAAAAAAAATAAATAAATAAATAGAACCCTCCTGAACAACCAACAGGTCACAGATAAAATTAAAAAAGAAATTAAACAGTTTTTACAATTAAATAATAATGACAATACAGGAGACGACCGGGGCCGCCGGATCCTGAACAGACCCAGATTGCAGCCCTTAAGAGTGAGTGAGATGACCGAGGGCTGCGGGATCCTGAATAGACCCAGAGCGCAGGCCCGGCAAGTGAGTGAGATGACCAGGGGCCCGGGGATCCTCATTCAACCCAGGCTGCAGGCCCAGCA